CACCTTTTCCTTCTGCAATTTCTTCAGCCTCAAAGACGCCGCTTTTTTCTTTTCTTCAGCAAGTCCTTTTTGCTCTCGAATAAAACCAAGGGGAAAGAAGAAGAGAAGATCAATGGAAAAAGCCTACAAATCAAATATCAAATATGTACATTTATGATTTACATGTACAGATGAAAATCAATGAGGGACAAAGTGAGTTATCTTGGTGTGATAAGTATGACCGTCATGTCTGTCTGCTTGCTTACAAAAATTAAAACGTACATTGTACACAATGCCAATATTAATACAGTATAAAAATCATCATGAAAATTTACAGTGACGTCTTTGTGTCATGGACATGGTGACATTCATATTTGCATACCTGATTACAATTCTTCTTGATTGAACATAAGTTGTAGATGATGCATGATAGGTACATGTGTATGAACATGCTAAAAAGTTATCTAGTTAAGTTACATCCAATTTTGTCAAATTTGATTAATCATTTAAAGACTTAAGATTCCTTTCTATAATAACTACTTCAAACCATGCCTTGCTTGCGGCATGGTATGACTGCCAGCCATCTTTACTTGTGCGTAGGTGCCCTGCTGGCACCACCTCTTCAATCCCATCTTCCTTATACCTTATATAGATGTATTCTAGAGGAAAGAAAGAAAGACAGAACCATTAGGTTTTCTTCCATGTAGATCTAGAGTAAAATAGGGATTTTCAGCCAGTTAAGAACTTTGTTGAGATCTAAATAATGTGGTTACGTTATCAAATGTGGCAGACCAAAAACATCCGGTTGAGCTTTGTAATACAAAGAGCATCCGTCAGTGCGACCCCCAAAAAATGAATCCCTTGGGTTCAGTGGATTTTTGAATTTTCTTTTAGATCTTGAATTAACGGCATCACTGTTGGCTCAATCCTCTCCCTATTCCAGTCATGTTCCCATACCGTGGTGACATTGTAGCCTGCATTCTTCAATAGTTGAATCCTATGTAATGCCTCATTGTATAGTACTCCAATCTTTTTATTACAACGCCGATTGACGGTATCTGGTTTATAGCACACTTCACATCCGTGAAAGTAACACCCTAAAAATTCAAAGATGTGTTTCTCATCCCCTACCTCTGCATAACCATCGACATAGCGCCCACGAACTTTACGCTCGCCGCCATTGAAAGCATGGCCTATTTCTAACCCTAACTCTTGGCCCTTGTCATGCAACCATTCCCCCGCTTTGACCGAATGGCGCTTAGGATTAGTGTATCCATCCGTGGGGATGAGCGCTATGATGTCGGGTTTGAGATAATTGGTTTGAAAGAGGAGATTGCAGGCATTCGGCAGAGTGAGACAGCGTAGAAAGGGGTCTATACACTCCTCATTCGTTTTGGTCCTGCTTATCTCTTTAAACTGCTTCCTAAATATTTTATAGCTCTCAAGTAATACTTTAACATCACTCTGACAATAATCCAAAATTTCATGTTGGAAATTAAAGACATAGTCTTTGGGCATGTTGTATACCATTCTTTGAATTCATGGAGGACGTTTTTCATCATTGAACTTGTACCGTAGTATGTTTTGTCTGGGAGGGGACCTACATAATTTTCATTTTCCTCTTTATTGAATAGATGAGGGAAGAAACCCTTTTTTATTCCTTCGATGCCAAACGTTTTAGGTAATTTTGCCAGCCCCATCTGAATAAAGTTCAGGCTATCTTTGACTACGATTTTGCAATCGTTCGTACGTAGACTCATGATTTTTCCTGGTTCCATAAGAATAGCACTAGGAATGTGTTAGGAGACAAATGAGTCAAGTCTAGAGTGAGATGAGGGGAGTGTAGGGTGAGGTTTCATAAGCCTAGCCCTATAGGAAAGTGTTATGAGACAAATGATCGCTATTTTAACCCCAATAATAATAACAATAAGTTGCAATAACACAAGTCTAACGTTAGAGTGAGATGAGCCCTAGGAAACAGTGGTGTTAGTCTGTTACTGTTACTTGTTAGGAGACGAACAGTTACATTACGTTAGTCTTAAATCATGTAAATAGGCCCTTAGTTAAAGGCTTAAAGTTACTACTAGATCTACTAGATCTGAACGTTAGATCTAAAGTTAGATCTAGTACTAACGTTCTTGCTAGATCTAAAGTTAGAATAGATCTAACGTTAGAATCTAGACTCTAACATTTAGACAGTAGATTCTAGACTAGATCTAAGTAATCGTCGTTAGTTACTTTTTTAGTTACTGATAATACTTTAGTTTAATAGATCTAGAATCTAAGTTGAGTTAGATCTATGAAGAGGGCAACTAAACTTACTTGGATCATGATATACTTCTTCGAAGTCTTTCACATACGTAACTGAGGATGATATCTCGAAAGACTTTACTACTGGGGCAACCTCCGATAACGATGGTACCCATCCTTGCCATCCATTTCCTTCCACTTCGATTGGAGTCCACATGTGGTCCCGAGAGTTCGCCATGTTGGGTACAGCATCCCCCGCGTGCATGACATGAAGCATGTGAAGTGAATAGGGCTGTCAAATATCATAGCTACCGGTATAGCCAGCAGACTGCTAGCTGTTATCATTTTGTGCACTATACATGTGGGCAGTACTTTCTCCTCCCCCATCTCTCCCAGAGCTGCATGCTCACTCTGTGCATTGTGTGGTACCGGTACGTGATTGGCCGGGTCTTGATAAATATTCATTTTCCGTAGAGCAGGGTTTGTGCTATTGAATATTCATGATTTGCGTGATCTTCCGTGCAGAATCACTTCCCTCAAGCCAACCTTGGATAAAAAGTGCCTACCTTAGCAAACGTGCCAGGAAGTGGTCGTGTATGATGGCATCGTGTATAGTCGTCGTCCTCCTCCATTGGAACCTCTTCCTCTACTGTCTGTAAAAAAATTTTTTTAAATAAAGACAAAATATAAACATCCTGTAACGTTATACTTTTAAAATAGTCTTCCTACTAGTAAACTTTTCCATGTGTTCATTACAAATTAATATCATTTAACAAATAATTTGTAACTTTGTGTAACTTACACAAGGCTGAAGACTATAAATAACCATATTCTGTTTTTATTAAATACACTTGCATTAATGGATACCCAAATACTACGCTATACCCCCCCCCCCCCTAAGAAAAAGTACACTTGTTTATAGACATAAAAATCATCCCTAATTCCCTTCTGTACAAGACTCCTTGTTTATCTCTAGCTTGTCTCACTCCCTCAACAAAATCTTCACCTGAAGTGATTCATTCCTAACCAAACCTATTGGGGGCTGTGTACCTTGTTTAACATAATCTATTACTTTTCTGATGGAAGGGTCCTTACTTTGTTCTTCCTCCCAGTCTGGGGGTAGGCCAGGGAAGCTATGAGGGGGGTCACTAGCACAAGTAAAAGCATTTACAGTAGCATCTTCCACGTCAACATGTAGGGCATAATTAACTACCGCCTGGAATGCTTCAACTGAAATTGGGGGTTCACTAGTTACTGGGGACTCTGTACTACAGGTGGGCTGGGGTTGTCGAGAAAGAGCATCGGCGTCAATGTTAAGCTTACCGGAGCTGCTAGCCAACGTTGCCCTGTTGCATCAAGCTTCGCCGTGGTTAGAACATAAGTGAGAGGATTATTATCTGTACAAACATGTACTTTGTTCCCATACAGAAAATCATGGAACTTATCAGTCACGGCCCATTTCAAAGCTAAAAACTCCAACTTGTGAGCAGGGGCATTCCTTTCACTCTTATTCAAGGAACGACTGGCGTATGTTATGACCCTTTCCTTCCCGTTTGCATCTAGCTGATATAGGGCTGCACCCAGTCCGCGACTTTGCGTTTTACACCCTGGCCTGGACCTTTTCCCAATAAATTTCAAGGAACCGACTGGGAAAAGTCTATCCATGACAAGATATTGCGCGCGCACGTAGCTCTTCTGCAATGCTCAACGTACGTCCTATATGTCCAGTGTCGCGGTACGCGGTACATGTACTTTTGTATCGAGACGTACGAGTGAGAGAAAAACAACGAATAACAACAGAAGGAAATAGAGAAAAACAATAAATAATTAAAGAACAGAGAGGAAACAAAGAATGTCATAAGCAGAGAGAGAAAACAAAAACTAACTTGAAAGAAAGAGAGAAATTAGAGAAGGAATTAATCAAAGTAAGGAAAGAGAGAAACCAAATAATATTATGGTTTTTGTGGTTTAATTCCGCCTTCTTCAGGGTTTCAATTTTTGACGTGTAGCCTACTTTCAAACCATTTGCTGATTCGGACCCCCCCCCCCCTAACACACGTGTACACATATCGACACATACACAGACTACACTCGACATAATATGTGTAATGGTAATGTAATACATAAACTGTGATTTAAATATTGCACTCGTACCATTTTCTATTATTGTGGGATCACGTCTTTCATTTTTTAAATTCATGTCATTTGTTTCTAAGACCTAATTTCTCTAATTCTCTTGACCCCTCTCCCTTCATATTTGTTTTCTAAGACCTCCCCCCCCCTCATCTCTCTTCATATTTGTTTTCTAAGACCCATTTCTCCCCCCCCCCCCCCCCCAATCTCTATTCATATTTGTTTTCTAAGACCTCTCTCTCTCGACCCACTCTCTCTCTCGTATGTATTTCTCAGACCCCTCTTTCTTTCTCTCTCATTAACCCCCTCTTCATATTTGTTTCTAAGGCCTCTCTCTCTCTCTTCATATTTGTTTCTAAGACCCCCCCCCCTCTCTTTCTCATTTCTTGATATTTGTTTCTAAGACCTCTCTCTCTCTAGCTCTCAATTCATGATATTTGTTTCTAAGACCCCCTCTCTTTCTCACTTCTTGAATTCATATTTGTTTCTAAGACCTCTGTCTCTCTCTCCCTTTCTCTCTTTCTCATTTTAAATTCATGATATTTGTTTATAAGACCTCTCTTTCTCTCTTTTTCCATTCATCACTTTGTCTAGTGTAATGTACAGACACATAACATATAAAGGAAATTATACACCAGTTTTACATGAATTCATTTGCACTTTATTTACTGCTTTACATTCATATACTTTTTTTTTTCGTGAAGGTAATCTAATCCTTCAATGTCAGAGAAGTAATACAAAAGATACAGGAGTATGTGTATGCATAAATAGTTATATAAAGAAGAAATATGTAGTAAAAGTGAAAGCAAACAATAGTAGAAATTTGAACAGATAATTTGACAGTGTGTTAAGATTTAGATGCAAGAAATGACTATAAGAAATTTTTATTTGAAAATACATGCACATGTAGATAAAAAGAGATCTGAACATAGGCGGATTCATGGGCGCAGAGGCGTGCACCGCACTTTACTTTGGAGATAACGAACTGAATACACATAATAATGGATGATACATGAAAATATTTTTCTTCAGCGAGTAACAATATTTCACGTATTTCGCGAAAATTGATCATCCAATATTATAATTATTATTTAGATACTCCACAGAGATATTGTGATTTATTCACCATTTTTTATAATATACTAGTACATGTACTTGTAAACTGCATCTTGGCAATTGAAGCTTGAAACGAGTGCAAATATGAAATTTCCCAAGCATTTATGTGGTGCTGGTGCACAACTAACATGAAAAGTTAAAAATGTTTGAATTTCAAGAAAACAGTAGGCCTACCGTAACACTAATATAATCATTTACCTGTACAAAGTCGAACATCTAGAATTTACATATCCCAATCCAAGTTGTTACTTGAAGTTATTGTGACGTTACAATTATTGAAAACGAAGTAGTTACTTGGATGGTGCAATTTCATATGGTGACGTCACGTTTAATAGCTGCATGCGCACAATCACTAATAATGGCGTGGCTTAAGAGGAAAAATAAAAAAGAGCAACATAGGTTTTATTGTTACTTCACGTTAGCTGAATGCACACAATCATGTATTGACCAATCATAATCTTGTGGGCGTGGCAGAATGTTCATTGCGTCCAATATTTTATGTTATTATGAATTCTCCATAGGCTTAGACGTTAAGAAATGAGATTTAATATTTTAGCTCTCTGAGACGACCGTGACGGACCTCCAAAAATATCGTTGCCTCTAAAACCCTAAATCTAAATAATAGACCTAATATATATAACAACATAACATATAATAATATTTCCTTTATCCCAAATTTTCAGGTCCCAGGAACCTCATCATTATTAAAGGTTTCCACTGGTGTAAATTTGGCAATACTCCCTCAAAGCTATGGATAAGTTTGTGTGTACAATGCTTTTCATATAAAGTTCATTGACTTTTTGACCTTTGAACTTTGTCGAATATGACCCATATTCGAACTCGACCCGAGTCTTCAAGAGATGCAAGTACCACTGGTGTGAATTTGGTGATACTACCTAAAGGCTATGGAAATTTATTGTGAGTACAACATAATTGTTGATGCCGACAATGACGTCGGAAAGAGTGACGTCTATATACATGTACGCAGGCAAGACAAAAACTATGTTTTACTATGGGTTTTGCCTAGAGATTGGCACATTGTGACCGCATGGTTCAGATTATGTGGTGCAGCTGCACGTTTTTTACGTGGAAGCTGCGATGACTGTGATGACTGTGATGACTGACCACCTTTGGCATAGCCATGTTCTTCAACTGTTGCCTGCTTGGTCGGACGTCCCGATGTCAAGTTTCTCCTCCCCCCAATCTTCACTCTTCTGCGAGCAATGGCTGTTGGCTGCACGCCAATGCTAGGTCCAGAAGTCTTAAGGATACCTACCTTGGGCTTAACCTTGCGCCTGGCAAGGTTGACGCCACTGTATCTCCCATACATTCTGATAGCAGATGTGAGACTGCTATCAGTCTTAAGCCTCCTATGAGACTGTAGCATAGCCTTAAAGGGCTCTGCAAATGTGGCAGGGTCCTGCTTAAGCTTCTCCTCCATCTCTAAGAACATGTTGTGGACTCTTTCCACAAGGTCATCAGATTGTGGAGCTGAAACAGACATAGAAAATGATGATTAAATGGCAACCCTGGTTGATTCTTTCAGAAATAATAATAATTAAAAAAACACTATGCAAAAATAAAAGTAGAGAATGTGTAGTTGATTTGGGGGAAACTCATACTTAAGGGTAAATCAGAAATGACTACACACCTTGAAAAACTGCCAACTGCTTAGATGAAAGTAATTATAAATATTAACCTTTTTACAATTTTATGGTAGAGAACTCTTCCGATTTCTTCCTATTTCTCTTGATATTACACATGTGTTAGGACACTTTAATACACAGTTAATGCACATGGGTAAATTTAGGTGACTGGGTGTACACCAATTTGCATCAAAATACTAAAAGGCTTGCTTCACATAGCTACAACTTATATTGCCAAGACTGTAATTGACTTTAAAAATTACTTTGAAAATTATCCATACTCTAAAAATGGGATTTATAAATTTAACCATGTTTACTGGTAGAGTACACTTCAGATGACAGGCCTACTTATATCACAGTGAATTCTCAATACCCATATGAACTTAATCAGACTACATAATAATTAGATAAAGGTTTATAATTCAACTTACTGAAATGTGCTCAGATGTTATCCAAGCGATCCCTCGTAAATAATGGTTTAGTTGTAATACGGATGAAAGACAAAAAATGTGAAAAGAGTTAGGTCATGCACATGAATGAAAAACAGTGACAATATATCATGCACATTTCCGAATACTTGTCAGGCACCTTCAATCATTCTGCAGGCTCATAACAATCTGTAAATGGACAAGACTTCATGCTGGTAAGTAACACTAACATGTTAGAAACTTGATGTGTGCGACTTCATTCCAATATGCCTCTGCCTATGTTTAACTATTCACCCTGCCACACTCAACATCTTAATATGTTGATGACACAAAACACCAGATAATGACCTCTGTGACCCTTGACCTTTGACTTACGTACTCCAAAATCTAATCAGATCGTCTTCTTAATGGTGATACATACTATAATCAAGGTTGAAGTTCATGTCTCAAGTGGTTGTTGAGATATCACGATGACTGACAGATGGACAAATCCTAATGGGTCATTATAATGAAGATGATCAACAAATTATGAATTCAACGTCCATGATCAAACAGTCCACTCCCGATATAACGAGCACGGATACAACGAGATTTCGTTATAACGAGGCAATTCTCCAGGGCCCAATTTTAAAATATTCATGTATAAACCTATGTGGTCAGTATCTTTGATATAATGAGATTTCATTATAACGAGGTAATTGGTTTGGTCCCGAGCACCTCACTACAACGGGAGTGGACTGTAGCATGCAATAAAACACATGAGAAAATCTGGAACAATATAATAAGAGAACTGGAATATATTTTGGAAATTTTCTTGTATTATTTTTTTATTTACGTTTGTCTTAAATTTTGGGATCAAGAAGATTCTCTCTAGCTTCCTTATTTTAATTGTTGATTTAACCAGAGCATTATGATCCAATAAGCATGTACCAAAATAATAATGGCCCTACATGTATATGTTACTCAACAACTTTCTGACCGTCGACATGTGATCTAGTTATCTCCCAAAATTAATGAGAATTTTGGCTCTCCGGCCTTCATTCATCCCATTTCAAATATTGAAAACATTCATTTATCCAGAGCTACATGTACCTGTTCGATTTGATTTACGCATTGGATGCACTACCTAAGGTAATAAATGGTTATTTAAAATAATAAAAACACGATTGACCAGCCTTTTTATATTAAAATATCAGAATATAAAATCCTATGAAACTTAAATGCATGTTCTCCTTTAGATAAAGTTTAGTTCTGGTCTTGAGATTGAAATGTGGAAGAACTGTCTCAAAGTGATTGGGAAAGGTTTATTATAATGCATCTAAGAATTGGTGTATGCTTTTGGTATCACCAAAATGATAAGAAATCAACTTGATTCTGCTAGGAGAGTCACATGCACTGCACACAGATATGCATGTATGTGGCTACACACAAATGTTCGGTCTGAACATTTGAGCTGCTTTTCTCTTATTATGAATGTGAGGTCATTTGAACAACAATCTTTTGTAGTGGATCTTTTTACTAATCTTCCTAAATAACATGAAAAGAATTTGAAAGCTCACAATAATTGTTTTTCACCTTTCCCACAACAGTAGCTTTTCTTCCCTTTTCCTTCTCTTCTCTCTCACTCTCAATCTCACCCTCACACCCCTCTTTCCGTTTCTATACCCCTTGATTTTACCACTCTCCCTACCCTTTTTATATTTCATTTAACCATGTTTATAGTTGTTTAAAGATACCTAGTTGTTTACAGAAATAGTTTTTGGTTTGGCAAACTCTTAGGGGTTCCAATTACAAGCTCTGCATCCAAGGGGTCCTAACCCTCTCTTTCAGAATATTGTATGTGTATTTATTGTTTTCATCATATGTTATTCTTTGTATGATTGATTGGTTTAAATAAATTGAACTTGAATTTGAAATTTAAAGCAAAACATATTTGCAATAAGCTGTGTTATACTTACATTGAGAGGAGCTGCTGCCATGAAGACGCCTGTCAAATGCATTATGGAAGTCCCTCTGAACACGTAGACTGTCAATACGAGCAAGTTGGGGATCCTGCATATCACCATGGCCATTGACCAGTGCTGTTTCTTGCAATCGTGGTTCTGCCACATCTTCTTACATTGGCTCCACGGACTGAAGAGGGTCCATCCATCCAGACGGGACATTGTCATTACCTTGAATTCAATTGATAAATGGTCAAAAAAAATTCAAACATAATATTGATCATGTAGTGCTGGTTAAAGTAACACAAGAGAGGAAAATATATGACCAGGATGCGTACTCCTACATTGTCATATAATTGTTGATGCTGCGGCTGTAGGTGATCAAAGATATTGTTGACTAATTTCAAGTTGAAATGTCATCAAAGTGATGTATAACTTTGTTAGGCCTTTCATTCATTTACAACATAAAAAATTTAATAGTAAATATTAAATGATAGCAGAGCGTAGATCACTTTATACGTATAAGAAAATTTATTCAGTTTAATATTACTTACATCCAGTTGCAATTTTGAGTAACAATTCCCTTTCCTTGGCAGAAGTTGGGAGGAAGTTGCTTGATGCCACTTTGAAGTGTGTCACAATGGCCTCTTGATGTTTGCAGGCACCCCCAGTTATACCTTCATGGCATGTACAAACACCAACTGCCATGTCAATAGTGTAGTGACATTGTCGATCACTCTGACTGGTGACTTCGTAGGTGCTCTCCCCAGTCTGATTGTAACAATATAAGAAATAACACAAGGCATTAGCGATGTAGTGTCTCGCCCACTTGTGAAAATAACTAGAAATATCGCGATGTCCATTGCCATCCATGAGAATTGTAGGGCCTATCGCAAGCTGATTTTGAAATATGACCTTTGACCTCTCTATGTGACCTCCGACAGCACCGCAACATGATGTTACCCCTAGTGCATCTATCACCCAAGTTTGGTCGCCATTGGACTAACAGTTGTCAAGTTATGTGTCAAAACATTTGTGACGGACGGACGGACGGACGGACAGACGCCATTTGGATCCCTAAGTCTCGCCATCCACCTCAATAAAGACAATAAAAGGAGAATTATAACGTCAGTGCTGGACAGGTAGTTCTTTCAAACTTAACATCCACATATCATGTTTAGTTAATACTATGTTATTGTTAATTTATTGTTGTTTTATCTTTGGGTCACTTCTTCCCCTTAATTTCTGAATAAGTATTAGTCAAATAAATAAATTAGTTGGTGCTTTATATTTAGGCATTACAGCACTACTGAAGTATTCAATTTTAAGATCAAATTGAATTTCCTTTTTGGATATTGTTTCACATGTACATCATCATTTACTAAATTTCCATCCATCTCCTCACAGATTAAATAAATAGAAATAAATTTACAAAGGTTTTTATTTACTTTGGAAATGTCATCTTTGCTGATCTTCGATCTGTTGTGGGTTTGGATATTCCACTTTAGTGGGCGCTGGTTGACAACTGACAGAAGTCTCCTCTGGTAGAATCCTTCAAACCTGCAGAGGATGAAGTCTAATAACTGAGGCACGTTGAATGCCTTGGAGCGTTGAAGGATGGAGTCTTTGAGGACCTTCATGGCGGCTTCGGCATAGTTATTTGTGTTGTTTGCCCGAATCCTCAGTCCAATTCTGAATGCCTGGGCCCACACTTGTCGTCTCTCATATAAGGAGTTGATATATGCTCTATATCCAGGGTACCTGGTCAACGAGAATCATCAAACATCGACTTTAAATTGCATTCAAAAGAAATGTTACTCCATACATTGTATGCTGCATTAACTGAGTTCTTCATATGTGGCCATGTGTTATGATTTGTTACGATTTTTTCAAATATCATATGATATCTCGGTAAAACAGACGGGTATTGTCATGAATTGGTGTCATTTGAAAGCTGAATAAAAGCTCTATCATACCTGTATGAGCTCATTAGCACTTGAAATCACGACACTGCACATCGTAGAATAATAATTCTTCTTCTTATCGGGTCACTACATTATATTAAACAACACTGGTCCAGTACTGGACACAGGACTTCGCTTTGGGGTTAAACCCTTCTACATGTAGGTCTGCAAGGGTACACATTTCTGTTAGGTGGGGGCATACCAGCAGGTGGTCCATGGTCTGCTCTTCCCCACATTCAGAAGAATAAATGAAAAGGGTGGAGGGGGGGGGGGGGGGGGGAGCGGTACACATTAACTCCAAAGAAACTCCCTCTAACTACATGTATATATTTTCTGAAAGGAATTCAGTGCTGGCATCCACTCCGGAGCACAAATTAGGAAAAAAAAGTGATTCTATCGTATGCCATTTTTTTTATTCCTCAGGAAATTTCATCTTAGAAAATGTACATACTATTGTAGGGATAGAGTTAATACACAAGTTCAAAATGCATGGCCATATTCCCCTTTCCAAATCAAGTAACCCTATTACTGTCATAAATACATTGAATTATTAACCCCTGCACAAAACATTCCCTCGGGAGGTTGTACATTTTATGATACCATCCTTGAAGTCGTACTTGTTTCTACCAAACCTTTAAGAAGTACAGTCATTTTCACTTTATACCTGCAGAGGTATGTATATCCAACTTTGCTCTATTATTTCTTAAACTGGGGGAATAAATATATTTGAAATTCGATAATATTAGGTGCCCCATTTCAACAGCTGTAACGTACAACTGAGATGGTTCAGATGGACAAAATAAGGTACATGTACATTGAGTGCATGTCATACTTCATAAATAGCCTACTATTGAGACTGTATGCCTGGGCTCACCGTATAACAGCAGGATCACTGATGGCACTCTCAAAAGCTGCCTCAACAGCAGTGGCATCCTCAGCATAGACCATGTTCTTCACATGGAAGAACAGGCCCTGTCGATGGTGTTTTTGGATGCCATGTTTACTATCCCATAGCCACCGCCACACAGCCTGCAAGAGGTGAAACGAGCAGAGGAGAAGTACAGATTGGGGGAAAACAGCATGGAGGGCCTTCCTCTCTGCGGTGCAGTCATCAGTAATGAAGACTGCTGGCCCATCATTACCATTTCCCCCAAAGGCACCAGCTGGACAGATGGTCTGCAGCAGCTGCAACCCTTCAACGATGGTCCGCTCCTGCTCGTTCGACGTTATGATGACCCCCAGAGGCAGGCCACCCGAAGAGCTGTGTGTCAACAGCAGGAACACCCTGCTTCCGTGGCGGTCAACATTGCCTGCCAGAAAACAGCATAATGACAACCTAATTAATCAATCTGAAATTATTCCTATAGCCATGCAAAGACAACAAACGTTAATGGTGAATTTACCTTGAAGTGTAGTCTTGGAGACACCCCACACCAGGAGGGCGCTCATAAATCATAATTATTTGCGCCACCAGGTCCAAGGCATACACTCCACATGTCCCCCTTGGCCTCTCACTCTTGTAACTGGCACTCTTATACCCCATTCGGTGGGCTCTAACTCCGTGTCAGCAACGGAGCAGCTCCGTTGCTGAAACGGTGTGGTTGTTAGTGTGAATGCTCGGTCCCGTTATAAACTACAATGGACCAACACCATCTCGTCTCAACACCATTTCAACTAAACCACTGTTCGCCTAGCTCCTGCAACGGTGCTGCTCCGTTGCTGAAACAGAGGTCGTTCACTGTGAATGCGACCCGTTTCAGCTCCGTAATAAACCATGTGTGTTTGCTTATTGTTTGTACTTCCCATGCTACGTATTTCTGGGCATCGGGGTCACTCACGGGGTCATGAGCCAGACATAATGTGCTTTGTAACGGAGGCACCGATTTATACGCAGATAAAATTTACTCCGTTGCTGCAACGGAGTAACTGGTCTACTGTGAATGCATTTAAAACAGGGTTATGACGGTGTCGCCGCTCCGTTTTAGCACCGTTGAAAATTTGAAAGCCACTGTGAATGGGGTATTATACATACATGTATGTAAGGACATAAATATGAAATACCTGTCGAATCAATGAACACAAGTTTGCTGCTGTGAGTCATTAAAGTGTGTACACGCTGCATCAGTGGAGTGCAAATTCCTATGATCAGCTCCCCAGTGCTGCTCCTAATCATCTTGGCACACGTCATCCCTGCTTCTTTGTTGTAATTAGCAATTACTTTCTCGTCAACAGCTGCGACCATATCTGCACCATCTGCAGGACCATAGGCCTTTCTGAAGATCTTGTGATAGAGTCTGCCAAAATTTAAGACGTTTAACAAACATTCATTTTTTTCATTCATCGTGTCTTCAACCACATTTGGTCAATTCCAGCGTAACGGACATGACAGTCATACCAATTTTAATACAAAATTAACAGTTCCAAAACGCAATTCATTCATTTTATCATGCACATAACATTATCAGTGACATACAGAGCAAATTTTAAAGTATTTTACTGAATAGATAAAGAGAAAATTGATATTTAGTGAGTGTAACGGACATGACACGAAATAGCAAATGTTTTTTTACCTCCTGTGCACAGTTTGAAATTTCAGTGAACTTTGCAATGGAAATATAACTAAGTTTGGGTTTTAAATTGAATTCAAGATGACACTCTAAACACAACTACAGGTTTTTAAATAATTTGGTATTCCATTTTCTGTTTAGACTTCAAAACATAGCGTAACGGACATGACAGTTTTGTTAGGAGGTCATGTCACCCCTTTGTAATTGATTAAATATCTCATGGCCTTTGGACTATGGAAATGTATTCCTCTTCTTCCCTTTAGTGAAATTTATAGGAAAAAATATTAAACAAAGCCTGTGTAATTTGCATTTTAGTGAATTTTTTGTCTCCAGTCCAACATGTACAATTTCAATGATGGTTTGAGATCTCATGGAAAGCAGCGAATTTTTTTTTTTTTGTTGTTGTTGAAAGACCTGTATGATTTATGAACATCCATGGCAATAAGGTTAGTGACAAAGAATTTACGTTAGAGGCAGATATGTTTTTTTTTATGTCATGAACATTTTTGGTGGAATTTACCATTTCTAAAAAAAAAAAATAAAAAAAAATAACAGGGAACGTTTAATGAATAAAAAACTTACCGGTAACAAAAGTGCAAATCTGGGCAAATCGACCTGTCTGCACAGTTCATGACGTACTTGTCTGGATCCTGTATCTGTAGCTCCAATTCTAGAATGTTGAGTGCACTGGCTGGTGAGTTCCCATTCTTAAACAGCTCCTCAAGTTTTGCACAGGTCTCAGGACTCGCATCTCTGTACTTAAGTGCAGCAGGAATGGAGATAACATGGTTATGTTTCCATTCTAGCTTAACCAGTGTTGGATGTGTCTGGATATGGGGGTCTGAGTTTCTGTAATGATGGAATAGAAAACATGATGTACAAAAATGCATTGCAACAAAATATTATGCGAGCGACTGAAAAATTTACAATTCACATCGTTAAACTACCGGTATGATAAGGAGTACCGTATGAGGAAGTATTCAAATCTACATGTACACGTATACAATAAAGGGAAAGCCAATTTTCTTTAGGTCTACTTCATTCTATATCCTCAGGTCCAACATGACAGAATAATTCAATACTTCCATTTGAAAGAAAATGCACACTATGTGCTGATGGCCTTCTTAAAGGAAACCAAAACCCAAGGAGAGAATCAATCTTATAGGAAAGAGTAAAATGAGAGGAACATTTTAAAAAAAGTTTCATCAAAATCGGTTATAAAATAAGAGAGTTATGGAAGTTTGCAAAGTCTTGTTGTACTTTCTATGGGGATCCTCAAATTGATGCTGCCTCAAAATGGCTGATTTTGTGGACAACTCTCCATTCGTTTTGTACACAAATTTTCAGAATTCTTCCATTATCTTTCAAAGTGCGTCTCACCTCCTTCTGAGCTCAACATATGTCATGGGAAAATAGATTTCACACCACATATGTCAAGGTCAGAAGGAGACAATAACAAATATGAGAAATAATGGGAAAAATCTGAAAATTTGTGTACAAAGTGAATGGAGGGTTGTCCACAAAATCAGCCATTTTGAAGCAGCGTTGCCAATTTGAGGATCCCCATAGAAAGTAAAACGAGACTTTTCGAACTTCCATAACTCTCTTATTTTATAACCGTTTTTGATGAAACTTTCTTTAAATTGCTCCTCTCATTTTAATCTTTCATATGAGATTGATTCTCTCCTTGGGTTTTGGTTTCCTCTAAATAGGTGATTGACAATTTATCGCTACTATATTCACATACTTGCTCTTCCTCCCGGATTGTGTCACTGTTCTCCTTACAGTGAGAGTAAGTTTAGCGCAGCACCCAGTGTCCTTGCTGTGACGAGATGTCCCTTCCTTAGCCCGTCTTTGCTGCCCATGATGACATCGATAGATCTTCTATTATCAATCATATACAATACGAAACTAAGATATGAATGAAATTTAGTCAGGACACCAAAGGAAGCAATTATGGAATGCTTGAAAAAGAGCTTCCAGGGGACTTAATCGTACATTGGTTAGGGTGCTGCAGCTGTAGGTAACCAAAGATATGAATATGAGTATAATTTCATAACACATATGAAAAAAAACTGCAAAAAAAGGTGATGAAAAATGGGACATAGAAATAAGATCACCAAATTCTGTAACATCAGAATAAAATTACATTCAACCAAACTAATGCAAAACCATAGAAACAAATTTACCAACACAACATGTAATAGTATATATCAGAGGTTTCTTCAATTGGGGTAATTTGTTTTTTTATCAGAAACAGCATTAAAAAAATTGCCTGCAATATTGTTTTGAGTTTTTACGGCGCCGTCAATATAAAATATGAATATTTACGTCATTCATGTTGAAGCAAGACAAGTCTTTATTTGCCAATTGAAAATGGTGGAAATCACATTTGCAGTTGTAGATCTAGACCCTCCTCCCCCCTACCACTACCAGTATTTTTTTTTTTACTTTTACATGAAAATGTCTTGTCATTGGACAGTTTTGATTTTGATATGCAACAGAAAGAGGATTGCTAAACCAATACCTTGAAGAGCACATATTTCTTCGCTGTCGGGCAGGTTCTCATTACCCTCCATGTGGTGCGAGAAGACTCTGCAAACTCGCTCATCCATTTTTTTGCATCATCTTCTGCTTTGACATTTATCACCAGTGATGCTGTGAATCCAGATTCATCATGGCTCTCAAAGTTATTTACATGGTAATGGTATTCATGATCTTCATTATGGGTAGATCTACATGTAGGTAGAATTGCCTGCAAAACAAACAAACAAAACAAAAAACAATATTATTCCAAGATCTGTAGAGGGCAAGCTCTATACTATAACAGTTAGGCTAGGGCGTAGGGGGGCTAGATCAAGATCGCAATCTAACTGTTAGATACCGGTAGTAGGGGCCTTGCTTACTAGGTATAACACAGGCACAGCTAAAGTCGGGCAATTGCCACACACAGAACCATTTGTATGTCAGGCTGTGCTAGAAATGGCTGCATGCTGCCATCTTTTTTGCTGAAGAATAATCAACTGAATCAGGTACAGATCTAAACCTACCTCAAAATAAAATAGGTTATTTTGGGACCATGCTTCAATCCTTGGGTGTTAAGTCTTAACAGATTGAATGTATGCACCTTTGCATGCAGGGGTTTAACTTAGATCTATCTTTAGTAGGAAATCCTCACTGTGCAGCAGGTCCCTGTAGGCTGTGCGACTACCCGTTCGAGGGGAGATGACAACAACAGACTCATCCCACTTCTATGCAGAACCCAATCGTACCAGCGCAGTTATCTACCCCAAACTATTACCAATTGGAACAATTTACCCATCGAAATAAAGAACCAAACATCTCATTCTGCCCTAAAGTTTCAAATAGCTCTTAGCAAAGAAGCATAGTCATGTCGCACAGCAGCAGCACCACTCTGGACGACGATGCTGAATAGCGATGTCCGGATATCATCCCGAGTAAATCCTGAGTAAACCTACGAGGTCAATTTTAATTGACCTTGCATAATTGCAGTTTGCACACACAATTCGCCCATGTGTATCGCAAACATCACTACTCAAACTAGATCTACAAGTGAATCCAGATCCAGCAGTTACCATGGTTACTGCAAACCTGAATAAACATGGAATGTTTTGCGAGCCTAATTCATTGCGTCACAGCCTTCAGGGAAACATCGACATGTGAGCTGATGAAGTAAAGTGACACCTACATTAACGCGAACTGAGTCCTAGCCTAGGCCCTAGGCTACGGAAAACATTGACAGTTAAAATTATTAACTGAAAAGTATTAACCATAGTCTAGATCTAGATCTAGTAGATCTAGATTCTATACGGTACGTAGATAGTAGAAGTAGTAAAGTTAGCTTTAGTAGACTTTATTGGAGAACTTGTTTAGCACAGGGCTAGATCTACTTCATATTCATATTCATAACTCCTAAGTTAACTCATGAACTGTATTAAGTTAGTAAGTTACACCTTAAGTTAGGCCCTCCTGCAGTCCTAGACTACATAACGTTAGATCTAACGTTATGTTTGTTTACATTGTTACTTATGCTTAGCTAGTCCAATTGACATTGCTGTTGTTAATGTTGACTGACAGACAGTACTGACAGTGACAGTGACAATGTGACACTGTGCAGCGACTCACTTAGTCTTACTCTTAGTTTTGCTAACTATGGATGCCTAACAGTTACAGTTAATCGTACTCATATAACTACAATTCAAAACTGGATTTACAGTATTCATACCCGCAAAGGCGTCTGCATTGCCACTCCGTCATCATCCTCGATGAATTCCATCGTGCAGCAAGCTTCTTAACTTGTTGTTCTGAACTTGAAATCCTATATCTTCTCCCTTAATCTTCAGTATTGCAGCTGCGTACGGTGTGTATAAATGCTGCATCGACGTACGTCTGTGCATGTACGATTCGATTTGGAACTGGCGCGCCCGATCGCGACCCGATCGAGGAGCGTAGACTAGACTCATTCAAGCAGTTTCATTGCTATTTACCGGGAAAATGTCCAGGCCAGGGTGTAAAACGCAAAGTCGCACCCAGTCCAGTAGTACTTGCATCTGTATGCAATATGAAAGACTTATCAAAATCAACATATGATGACATAAATGGTACCCTGGGGTACCAAAAAAAATCCGGCCATTTTGTTGAATTTTTTTTTTTTTTAAGGCTGTACCCTGGGTTACCAAAAAGTGGGAAATTATTTTAATTTATTTATTTTTATTTTTATTTTAATTATTTTTGGTTCAATATCCCACCTATCAATCTGATCTTTAATAGCCTGCTTATCCTCCTCGGTGGCAGCATGCCAGGCTACTCTTCGTTGTTTTCGTAGCTCCTCCTCCTCAGGGTCATACCTTGCAAGTCTAGCAACTCTATAGCCCCCAACATGAAGTAGGGCTACGACTTCGATTTGTGAGAGGGCTTGGGCCAGCAGGGTCAAAATAACACCATCAGCCTGCTCCTTGTCTCCCCCGTCACTCGCCCTCCTAAACACCGCTACCACATCAGCGGCCTTCTCTTCCCCCAACTTCTCTACAGCACGAGATCGAGCTCTTTCAACTTTCTCGGCCCTTGTAATCTTCCGTCTTTTACGTCCTTTCCCTTTCAGTAAATCCCCGTATCCACCATCACCTTCCACCCATGGCATTTTCAAAGTTTGAAAGTTTGACAGTAACGCGCGCGTTAACTATGTCGATGATGCGATGTTTGTTTGTTGTTTTTTTTTTCGAAAGAGTATACAGGTACGGTACCTACGTGCAATAACATCAAGTTCTAAAATAGCCGCGGGTCGGGACCGGACGCCGGAGCTAGCTAGCACTATAGTGTGCGATAGCCACCGTAGTGCGCTTGTGATCGTGAGCGAGCGCTATAGTCATCATATTCAAATTGGAACAGTAGTTTTAAGGACAAGTTGGAACGTTTTGGCAAAAAGACAACATCAACTCCCCGTCATTGGCCAATTATTGCAATATAGGCAAAGTATCTGATCGAGGCTGTAACAAAAGTTCTGTTGTCCTAATGTCTATCAGTCTATGGTGGGTGGATTCATAGCTCTGTTGGTAGATCATTTAACTCAGAATGAAGTGATTCTTCATGGTGCAGGTTCCGACGTTACCCCCAGTTGGAGCGTTTTAACAGGACGAGTACGTACTTAAATATTACCACGACAATCTCAGGACAACCTCCACTTAAAGTGCTCTGAAAAAATACGGGCTCGATAGAGGGACAGGGAGGGGAGGGAAAAAAAGATATTTGGAAGAGAGAGAGAGAGAGATGTAGCACATCAGCGCTCACCAAATTTGTATTAAGCCCCTTCATAGTGCCTCCCCCTAAAGATGGATGAAAGGATTTCTCTCCATAAGAGGATAAATAAAATGAATAAAAGTGGTTCTTCGCAGAATTGGAAGAATCAATTATTACCATACTAAAAGAAGAGTCCCTAAAATAATTCACATTTTTTTTTATATATATATATTTTCGGGACTGGTTCAAATTTCAATTCAATAAAGATTTAATTCAACACAGTTGTTTTTATTCAATTAAATTGCTCAAAGATAAACTTCCCTGGAAAAAAGAATGGATATTATATATTGGCAAAACTGATTGTTGCAGAATGCAGGGTGGTGTATATTTTCTGTTATTAGCATATTTATGTGGGTTTTTTTTTTGGGGGGGGGGGCAACAAAGTGAAGTATGATTGAAAGGGTTTTTTCTTTTTCATAATGTGAGAATTGGCTACGTTGAAACAACGCATTACCGACACTACGACGGGGACGTTTCTCACTCAGTGTCATGTTTGGCGCTTAAAAGGGCCGTTGGGTTTGGGTTGGCGCTGAAAAGGGCCTTTGGGTTTAGAAGCACCTCAAAGTGCTACACTGGATAAATCTGGCGGATGGCATTCATAATCTCTCCGACCTTGTTAGGGCCAACATCGTTCCGCCACAGGAACTCGTCCAGATATGTGGGAAAGAGATCCCGTGTGGTGCCACACTGTCGCCTCAGCTTCCTCTTAGCGTGCATCCACTTCCCTCTACGGTGTTTGTATGCAGCCAGGGGAGATCAGGATCCACAAAGTTGTCCTCGTGGACGACGACGTCGTGGAGGTAGACACCGTTGTTGAGATTCTCGAGATCTCTGTACGCCGCCCATCCATCGCTGATGATGTGGGTGCCGGGCAGACACCACTGTTGGATGATTGGTTCCAAGGTTGCTCGATTCCGCTGCTCGACAATTCTCATGAGAAAGCGGCCACTTTCTCTCTCCACCGCTCCAAATACCCAGTGGCCATCACGGATGGCTCCACGATGGTACTTCCGGTGGAAAAACTTGGATTCGTCGATCTCAACGATGATAGGGTTGCCGTCGTCATCGAATCCACCCAGTGGCCTCATGTTGACGATGATGGCTTCGCTGCAGACGTCTCTAAGGAAGTTCGCCCAGTTGGTGGCCGTCTTGTCATCGCAGCCGACCTCTGCCTGAATAAACTTCAGGGGAAGATCTGCGGCCCAAAGGTAGATAAACATTATGATCTTCTTTAAGTCCAGGTGGCTCTTAGAGAAGAAACTGCCTTGCCGGATACTCTTCCTTCGTCTGCAGGGTGGCGGACATCTCCAAACGAAGCCATCTATTGCTTCTGTTGCCTGCAGCCGGCCTCTCTCCTGGCAGACATCGCATGTCCAGCTGTTGCCAATCAACGCTCTCTCTGCCAAGAATTGAAGACAACCTTCAATGTTCACTAATTGTGGCACTAACTCCAGAAGTGTCAGGTTCTGCTGTAGAACCTGAGCGGCGTTCATCAGGCGGTTTGCCGGGACAATTTCGATGCGGTGTCTAATAGCGGGGGCAGCCATCTTATACCTTGCGAGAAGCACTCCAGTATAACTTATGAACTTGTGTTGAAATGAAGCTGCATGCCTGTTTTATTATATTGCGCAATGATGTTGGGTGATTCTAAAAAGTTGATTAACAGTAACCCTCATTATTATTTTTTTTAATTTTTTTTTTTAAAGAAAGGTATTAGATTCTTCTATTTTTTCAATTTTATTGTAAACTATGCAATTTTTAAGATTTGCGTTCTTGTAGCTTTATTTCAGCTTCAAAAGTATAAAAATGTTCCCCCTAATCTATGCATTTTCACATCCCCTCCGAATGAAAGTGACCCTACTACACCTCTCCAAGAGTTAAAAGACCCCATGCTCCATTCACATGATAACTCCCGCTTAAAATGTCCCGCTTTGTAGAAACCAAGATCCCGCCCTTTAAGCACACTCGAAAATAGGGAGGGCTGAAGTTTACACAGCAGTGGGAACATTGTTATAACAAATTTCTGAAAATTTTCTTGTATCAACCTGAGCAAAGTTTAACAAACATTAGCAAAATTTTACAATGAGTTGGACACATTTCAACCGAAAGATGTGTGGACAGTAAACTATGTTCAATGTGTGGTTAAAGGCGGGGGAGGGGGGGGGGGGCACTTGTCTCGAGCTCCATATTTGATACATGGGGGGGGCAATCCCTATAATAGTCCCACGTTTCTCTGCATATGAAAGAGAAAGAATGAAAGAGATCAGCAATTACAATAAAAAAAAATAATCCTCAAATTTGGCTTCCAAGTATGCAGCCCTTTCACCAATAATTCAGCACCCCTACTCCTGACAGGGGGGGGGGATTCCCCTAAGTCTTGAATTTATAAAGACAAGAGAAAGAAGGGAAGAAAACCATCAAGATTGGCACCCCAGTCACCAAGTTTGCGCCCTTTTTACCTAAAACTTGGCGCTCCTGCCGAGGGAGGGGGCAGGGGGGGGGGGGGCTGGGGGAAGGATTCATCTCCTTAGGCCCCAAATGTTGCAGGCATGTCTCAAGAGAGAGAGAGAGAGAGAGAGAGAGATGAAGCAGAATTAAACTGCAAAGAAACGATACCCCCGCCCCAACAAATAAAATAAATAAATAAATGTGAGAATAAACAAATTAAAAAAATGGATAATTACCAATTGTGCGCCCTTTTACCCAAAATTTGGCAACTATCAAGCTCCCAGAAACCACCCATCCGACTCCCACCCGCCCCTCGATGCGTGCATGTCTATTCAAGAGAAAGCGAGAAAAGGGGGGCGGCAGAGAAAAGAAAGAAAGAAAGATTAATAAAAAAAATAACCCTTGAATTTGGCGCCCCCATCAGGAAAGGGGGTTGTCATTTCGTCAAGCCCCCAATATTTCGTGCAAATCTGGTGAGAAAGAAAGAAGAAGCAGAATGAAGAAAAGAGCCCCCGGAAAAAAAAATAGAAAAATGATTACAAAGAAATAAAAGTGGATAACAAATTGAGCCCCAAAAAGGCCAGTTACCAATTGTGTGTCCTTTCCACCCAAATTTTGCGACTATTAAGCACCCCCCCCCCCATCCCATCCCAACCTACCCCTATCATGCGCGCATATCGGAAGAAAGAGAGAGAGAGAGAGAGAGAAAGATGAAGCAGAATTAAACGGCAAAGAAACGATCACCCCCAAAATAATAAAATAAATTTAGAAATGAATAAATAAAGAAATAAATAAATAAAAAATAATAATACCAATTGTGCACCCTTTCCACCCAAATTTTGCGACTATTAAGCACCCCAAACCACCCCATCCGACTCCCACCCGGCCCCTCGATGCGTGCATGTCTATTAAAGAGAAAAACAGAAAGGGGCGGGGGGAGAGCAGAGAAAACTAAAAAAGAAAAAAAAAATTAAAATAACCCTTAAATTTGGCGCCCCCATCAGGAAAGGGGGGGGGGGGGGTTGTCATCTCTTCAAACCCCCAATGTTTCGTGCACATCTGGTGAGAAAGAAAGAAGAAGCAGAATAACTAAAAGAGCCCCCCCCCCCGGAAAAAAAGTTAGAAAAATGATTACAAAGAAATAAAAGTAAATAATAAATTTAGCCCCCCCCCCCCCAGGCCAGTTGCCCTTTTACCCCAAATTTGGCGAGTTTTCAGCACCCCTAAAACCCATCCCACTCGCCCCCTCGATGCGTGCATGCCTATTAAAGAGAAAGGGAGAAAGGGACGGGGGGGGGGGGGGCAGAGAAAAAGAAAGAAAGATTAAAATAACCCTTAAATTTGGCGCCCCCATCAGGAAGGGGGGGGGGGGGGTGTCATCTCTTCAAACCCCCAATGTTTCGTGCATATCTGGTGAGAAAGAAAGAAGAAGCAGAATAAAGAAAAGAGCCACCCCGGAAAAAAATTAGAAAAATGATTACAAAGAAAAATAAGTAAATAATAAATTTAGCCCCCCCCCCCAAGGCCAGTTGCCCTTTTACCCCAAATTTGGCGACTATTGAGCACCCCCCCATCCCATCCCAACCTGCCCCTATCATGTGCGCATATCGGAAGAAAAAATTAATAAACATTTCAAAGGTAATTTCAGAGGTGGTTTGATTTTTTCTTTTCTTTTTTTAGTTCACCATAGTTTTTATTCGGTTATTTCAGTTCGCTAGTATCTCGCATCAAGCAAAGAGGAGATCCCCTACTTCACTGCTATTTTTGGCTTAAAATTGCTTTTTATGACGTCAAATGATTAAAAATCATCAAGTTTTGGTATGTTTATATTTGCATATATTAGCATAATTAATATTATTGATATTAAATCCATAATAAACTGAGATTTTCAGCTGG